GAGGAGGTGGATGCGGAGAACACTTGAGGCATACGCCTCTGAGTGCGCATTCGGATAATCGAACGGTCACCAACTGCTGAACTCGGGTGAGTGTGCGTATGTGGGTGTTTACACTAACCTCTACGCGCCTTATCTGTATGTGCAGAAGGTACAGACTCTTCAGTGAGACTAGTGGTGGGGGAGTGGGTTTAGGTGTGTGGACTTTATTGACTGACAGATACCTGTGCATGAATCACAGTCAACCTTCCCGTTTAGATTATTTTTAGAGATTCATTGTTCATTCGAGTTCGGTTTTGCTGGTTTATTCTTTGTAGTGCAGCGCAAACCAACGCTCGGACCGGAAACTGTGGAAGTCTGCCTATTCTAATTGGTCTGACTGCTTGTGGGAGTGACGTTCACTGATTCATCCTGTGTTATGGGGTTCTTGTTTGTCCTGGGGCCCCGGTCTAAAGCCCAAACAGGCGATCACATCAAGTCAGAGAATCAATGGTAAGAAAGGGGATAATGCTGGACCTAGTACTCTGTGGCTGAAGAATGCAAGTTCGGATCCCAGGTCTTCTCTACCTGCAGTTGGAATATGACTGGTGGATTGCGAAGGAAGAAGCCCGAAATGGGCATTTTTGTCTCCCTTTTCGGTGGGACTTCTTAATTATTCTGGCTGCAAACAAGCTCTTTCGTTAGACGGCCAAGGGAGTGCTTGCAGAACTGTGTGTGTGTCTCACCCCGTAGCCACCCACAAGCACAGTCATCGCACAGGACAAGTCTACAGATGCGTGAGGATCATACCAGATGGGCAGTTCTTGATACTGGATCCTACTCAACACTTTTTTATCTGCAAAAAGTTGCCACAGCACTGAAGGGCGAAGCAATTGGACAGGGAGTGCCTTTGTTCCATCCATGCACTGATTAGCCATTACTTGAGCCAATTTTAGTTACAACGTCACATCTTCTGACAGTCGTAGTGGAATACTTCTTAGCGTCTAGTCAAAGCCACACAATCACTGAGTGTCAAAAGACGGTTAAGTGGCGCAAGAGATAAAGGACCTCACAGAGAAGCGATTTTCGCATGGTTAGCCTGCCTATGTCCCTGGGCACCAGTCTGGAATCGTTACAGGCGATTAAACAGCAATGAGCGCTCACTAATGACCAACCAAGACAAGGAAAACTGGGGTGGTAGTTTCCGCCTTATTTTCCGCCGTCAGTCGGTCATAGCCCAGCCCCAGATCGAGAGGAGCTGAGGTCTGAACCTCAGGCCAAAACAGTCGTTAGCCGACGACAGCAAAGGAGCCAGAAATGACCACCCCTGACTTCCATGTCTTTGTTGACAGCATCTCTTCACATGAACGTGGAGCAGACCCCAGGCAAGACAAAAACCATTGTGCCGGCCATTGTCCAAGGAGACAGAAGGTACAAAGCCATTTCCGGAAGAGGCTAGATTGCCTACTACCAGCATGCCTAGGGAATTGAACTCCATCAACAGCTCACCAGTAGACTGAAGTCCATACAACTGCTGATGCTACAGAAAGTTCCTAACGCAGTCTATGCAGGCGGAACTGAGGACGCTTTCTGAAAAGGCCCGCATGGCGCCTCTCGAACTGGGACAGTCGATCAGAGGACTTCAAGTGCGGTACGCCTAGTCAAGATACAAACTCGAATCCAAATGACTGAAATGACACTGAACTCACCCTGTCAGCAAAAAGAGGATGTCCACTAATTCACACAGTCGGCAGGCGTAACTGCAGTAGGTAAAATGCAGGGTGCCGCGTGCGAACTCGTTGGCTGGCAACTAGGTCCTGCCTGATAGCGAAAATTTCCTGCTGTGTGAATTTCCTATTTTTCATAGTCTGTATTATGAAAAATGCTTACTGAAGTTTTCAGCAATACTAGAAAGTATTGCGTTCTGGATCAGAACCCGGGACTTGCCGGGGCGTTGAAGATTCCACCGAACTCTTTATTTCAATTTCCGACTCCAGTGCATGCGTGTGGACTACTACTACTACTACTACTACTACTACTACTACTACTACTACTACTACTACTACTACTATTATTACTACTACTACCACTAGTGGCAGTGGTAGTAGTAGTAGTAGTAGTAGTAGTAGTAATAGTAGTAGTAGTAGTAGTAGTAGTAGTAGTAGTAGTAGTAGTAGTAGTAGTAGTAGTAGTAGTAGTTCTACCTATGTCGAACACAGCATCTTGTTTTGCGGAAAACATATACGACAATAACGATCTCTTACCAGGGCGTATGTGATCCAAAAATGATAATGCGGAGGTCTGAAAAACAACAGTGGGTAACATTTCTGCTAATATCAACAGCGCTCAAGCAACCAGCCTCACTAAGCAATTTAAGTGCGTAAATGCACTGAGCACTGAACTGCCTTGTGCATAGCTACAAATAAGGACTCAAATTCGCCAACGTCTCCTCGATATGAGTAAGAGCACAGAAAGAAGTTAGAGCAGTTCGGACATTTCGCAAGCAGAAAGAACCTTTACTTCGCGTTAATTGTTGAGAATCCCCCTAAGCAACAGCCAGCCTTATTCCTTCTCCCCAAAAAAAAGTGTTAAGAAAGGGAACCAGGAAAAAAGTTACTTCTAAGTGATTTTCTCGAGCATTTTTTGCTGAAGATTCGCCAAAAGTTCACATATCGGGAATAATCGAACGGCGAAGGCGTAGGCTGTCTT